CTCTCCAAGATTTTCCTACAGGAAAACTCTTTCTATTTTGCTTTCCATATACACACCCTTCACAGAAGTCAATATTATCAATTCTAGGCAACCCAAAAACCATTTCTTTTTTACATAACAATTTCAACCCATTTATATTTAAGTGCCCATAATGCAAATGCCACAATTTAGCCTTACTACATCCTTTAGCTATCAAAGCAGAATCTTCAACAGTTGAAACTTCAAGTGGAAACATTTTATTACTAGCCATTTTAATAGTAGCAATAATCTGGCCTGATTTTTTATCCTTAATAACACACGACCCATCATCAAACACAATGCAATATCTACTAACCATTAGTTGTCCAATACTTAGCAGATTATGAGTCAAACTAGGAACACACAATACATTAGGCAATAGTTTGACTTTACCATGTCTAGTGATGGAAATTGTACCTTTTCCTGCAGCTTGAATTTGTTTGTTATCTCCTAACCTCACTTCTAACTTTTGTGACTTATCAAGTTCCTTGAACAATGATCTTGTTCCCGTCATATGATTAGAACATCCATTGTCCAAGAACTAAACATCATTAGAGACTACGTTATTACAAAAATGGGCCATGAAAAGCTTACTGTCTTCATTTGCCTTCTCTGCGAAACTTGCTTGATTATTGACATTCTTTTGCTTAGCCTAACTATCAACTTCTTTGTGGCCAAGTTTGTTGCAATAGTGGCACTGAATTAAACTCTTATTCTGCCTGAATTCACCAGATTGTCCTCTTCCTCTGCCTTTGCCACAGCCTCTGCCACAAAAACCACCATAATTATCGCCTCTGCCTTGTTTCTTCTCAAAGAAATTTTCTGCCTTGCCCTTCTGAGATGACTCCACCTTCACTTGAAATGCTTTTTCCCCATTTTTGTCATGTGATCTATTCAGCCTTTCTTCATGAACTTGCAAAGAACTCATTAATTCATCAAAAGATAAATCAGATAAATCATGAGACTCCTCAATTGCAGCAACCACATGTTCAAATTTTAGAGTGAGACTTCTCAAGATTTTTGCAACTACGATTTCATCAGTGACTTTTTCACCATACGACTTCATTTTATTAACAAGGGTAGACACATGAGACAAATAATCTTGCACAGATTCATTGTTTTGCATAAGCAAATTGTCAAAATCACGACGGTAAGTTTGCAATTTTACCATAATGACCTTTGCAGACTCTTGATATTCCTTCTTTAAGATCTTCCAAGCCTCTATTGTAGTTTCTGCTACTGCAATTCTTGAAAAAATTGACTCATGTATCTCTTGTTGAATGAAGAACAAGGCTTTGGAGTCTCTTCTTGCGTTTAATTTTTTCTCTTCATCTGAAAGTACTTTGTCAATAATGTCGTGCTCAACCACGTCCCATAACTCTTAAGACTTGAACAAGGTTCTCATTTTGATGCTCCAAAACTCACACTTCTCACCGTTGAAGATGGGTATGAGTGGCTGTGTGGAGGTTGAAAGCCAATTTGCTACCATCTAGATCTCTCACATGTTTCACTCTTTCTCACTTTTTTTTTTGTGTTCGCCCAGTCAAAGACGGAAGCCTTGCTCTAATACCACAAATGTTGGATTAGATGAAGACGGACTAAGTAGTGAATGAAACCATAGCAAAAATAATAATACTTTTAAAGAGGAATTGAACTGCACAATCAATATAATAATAAATGAGAAAAGACATTTCCTTTTATAGGCTTATAAGCTACACACACATAGCCATGACTCTCATGACTCCTAATTTTACTAAAGCACTACATAAATAGTTACTTGCACCCTACTTCTATCATCATATCACCTAGTTAATAGCAACTAAACACTTGGACTATTTCAACTCTAGCAAAAGACTTATTTGCCCTTAAGACTTTGAATCACTCTTCTATACTTAACCCTCCTTTAGAACTTTGGCAAGTAGACACCGGGTTGAAAACAACTAAAAACACAAATTTTTTTGGGATAAACATGACGAAGATTTTGAATATGCATGAGTCGGCCGATTTATCTATACACTTTCTTTTCATTGAACACAATAGCCTTTTTCACATCTTTTTCTATTATTTCAACTGCCGTATTGGACCTCCCTTTTTGTATGTACTCCATCCGTCTGCAATGTTCCTCTCAGGCACCTACTATGGTAGCCTGGTTAACACCATTCTGTATTCACGGATGAATTCCACTAATCTAGCTCTAAGGTATGTATTTATATGCTTTATCGGTTTATGTTTTCTGATAGCAAATCTGTTTCCTTTGGTTGCTCTTGGACAACATCGTACGGTTACAAAGCACGTGGATAGTTTGAAAAGGCATCTGTGAAGGCTCATATAGATCATGATGAGTAAAAAATACGGATATGGGACTCTCATTATGTATTATCTAATTATGTATTATCGTTGTTTGTAATAATCCTGAACTTTGTATTTGTATTTTCTGATTTGTGTATTTTGTGTGATTATGAAAAATTTTAAATTAAAATTTTTCTGTCATGTATGCATCTTGATTAAGAATAATGTTTGTTTATAACTAAGTCATTCAACCAAACAAAAATTGCACAAAATTCATATAAAATAACTATGTACTCTATCCTTTATTTTTTATTTGGTTGTACAACTTAGTTATAAGTATAACATTACTCTTTGATATGCTTCAAATAATTGTCAATTCCAATATGAGGGAAAGGTTACACCTATGAGTTAGTGTTGCTTGAGATAAGATGGAAAGCCCGTTTGAGCTGTTATTCAGAAAATGCTTGTTCTTTGCAAACCAGAGGAGAAAACAAGACTCAGAGAAAATATTCACTGGCTTTCTTACTAATAAAGATGAAGTACACGCTTACATTTATAAGGAGAACAAGAAAAATCTAGAATAGCAATCTGATAAGAATTGATCTATATTGTGGCTTAATCTCTAAATTTACTGATCAAGGAGAGAGAATTAGAGATAAAGAGATATATTTTCAACTTGATAAGTCATGGAGGCCTACTCAATTGCAATGTGTTTGGGGCGTAGTCAGAAACTCATTCTAGAGGATCAAGACGTTGATTAAATTTAATAATATTATTCTATCAATTAAAAACCAACTATTCTCTGTCAAGAATAACGAGGTTATGATATGAGTTAGTGGTGTTTGATATAAAACAATGAGGTAATGATATGAGTTGATGAGTATATGGCGAGGCTTTTATTACTATAAAATATATAATATAAGTCACGTATTTTATAAGAGAAAGTCAATAATATCACAGTAGCGAGAACCGTATTAACGTTATCACAAGTCATACATGCATTCTATATAAATATCAGATTTAATAATTTTCAATTACATTTATCGTAAACATAGATGAAAGAGAAAACAAATTTTAAACATAACTTAAAGATATTGACCTCTAATGTGTCTACTGATTCAGCTCTAGAATAATGAAAATATGAATATTCTTTTTATTACAGGTGTTCAAAAGTGGTTAACCGAAACCGAACCGGTTTGGAGGGGAAACTGGTTTTTCGGTTAACCAGTTTTCCCCTTTTTTTTTTTAATTTTTTCCTAAATTAAATTATAAATATAAACAATACATATCCAAATAGAAATTAAACATTCATACATATCTATTTTGACCACTACTAATAAAACATTAATAATTGATACAAATAAAAATCCTAAATGAAATTTTTATTTAATATATAATATATATTTTTATTTTTATTTAATATTATTTATATATATATATTTGTAAAACCTGTTTCGGTTAACCGTTTTTTATTTTTTCTCGAACTAGAAATCTGGTTTTTTGAATTTCTCTAATCATAACCGAACCGTTTTTTCGATTAACCGGTTTTTTAGTTAGGTTTTTGTATTTTTTTAAACACCCCTACTTTTTACCTCAATTAAAAAAAAATATTTATAATGTTATCAAATTAAAATTAAAATTCATGTGATTGTTGATATATCAACACAATATTAATTACCGGAAAAGCAATATCAATCATATAATCTTATGATTAATTATGTCTGCAATTATATTAACAACTGCATTAGGTAGAATTCAAATTGAGAATCCTAAAGATAGTATTCTTATTATTAGATGCATACAAAATATGAGGAGAAATAGGTTATATAAAGCATAAAGAAAATATATATTAATGGATTTATTAATATTATCTTATCACCTACATTCAAGTATAAGAAAGAGATATTAGAAATATGGTTGAGTTGGTAGACGAATAAATGGATTCTCATTACTACTTTGAAGTCGGAAGGCTTGGGCCTTTTAAATACTCAAAGAGGTTCAAAGGCCTGAGGCCTTTATAGATCACATTAATGTTCTTACATCATGGGATTTATAGCCCACATAATATATATGGACTATGTGTGATTATGAGTATCTCCTACTTTAAATTTTTTTTTTTTTAATAAGGTTAGGTAATTGATTTTTAGTCCCATCAAAATTATCAATATTTTTATTTTTAATTATTTATATTTACTCTTAATAAAAAAAATTACTATAAATGACATAATAATTTCTAAATATACTCACATTCAATTTTTAACCTTTAATTATTATACAAATCCTAACTCTAAATTTTCTAAATCATTGAAGCAATTTTTTTTTTTTTAATTTCAAATATTTCTTTGTTTTTTAAATTTGAAATTAGGGAGAAGGTGTAAACAAAAAAAAAAAATTGATTGCTTCACTTAGGTGAAGTATTAATCTTTCTTTATATATAAATTTATGAAACAAAATAAAGTTGTTCTTTTTTATTTGATAAAGTTTGAGAGGTCTCCCATAGAAAGTCTAAAAAAATTGATTGCTTTTTGTCAAAAAATGACAAGAATTAGAAAATGTTTTACACGAGAAAAGATTTGGCAATAAAAAATTTTCTCCAAAAGAGTAAAAAGATATTTGGTTAAGAGTATCATCTTTTGTCATTTCATTTGTATACCACACGCCACTCATCTAGTACTCCTCCACTTGATCTTCGATTCTCAACAATGGCTGAAACAAAAGAAAGCATAGTAATGTTTCCCTACATGGCTCAAGGCCATATTAATCCTTTCCTAGCTTTAGCCCTTCGAATTGAAAAAAGGAACAAATACACCATAATTTTTGTTAACACCCCTTTAAATAACAAGAAACTCAGATCATGTCTCCCTCTAAACTCCTCCATTCATCTCCTTGAAATCCCTTTTAATAGCTCAGATCATGACCTCCCTCCTAATTCTGAAAATTTGGATTCTCTTCCTCATCATCTTTTCCTCAGTCTCCTTAAAGCTTCTCTATCTTTGAAACCCCATTTCAGGAAACTTATATATAATCTTATCCATCAAGAGAATGGGCAAAAACCACTTTGCATCATCTCGGACATGTTCTTAGGATGGTGTATAGAGATAGCCCAAGAGTTTGGAATATTTCATTCTATATTTATTACTGGTGGTGGTTTTGGCTCTGCTTGTTACTACTATTTCTGGCTAAATTTACCTCACCGGAACACTGATTCTGATGAATTTGTGTTGCCGGATTTTCCTGAAGCTTCTACCTTTCATGTCACTCAAATGTCAGAGCCTTTAAGAGTCACGGATGGAAGTGATTCTATTTCAGTGTTTCATAGGGAAGAGCTACTTTGTCACTGGAGTAAAGCTGATGGAATTTTGTTCAACACAGTAGAGGAGATTGACAAGCTTGGACTAATGTATTTTAGGAGAAAATTAGGCCGACAGGTTTGGTCTATTGGCCCTTTTATTTTGTCTCCGGGAAGCAGAAGAGATTTTGGAGTCTCCTCAGAGGTGTGTAAAAATTGGCTTGATAAAAAACCTTCTTGTTCAGTTCTCTATGTGTCATTTGGATCACAGAACACTATATCTGCATGGAATATGATGCAATTGGCAATGGCTTTAGAGGGTTGTGGCAAGAATTTCATTTGGGTTGTTAGGCCACCATTAGGCTTTGACATAAACTCTGAATTTAGAGCCAATGAATGGTTGCCTCAAGGATTTGAAGAGAGAATCAAAGACTCAGGACGTGGGCTATTGGTTCATAAATGGGCACCCCAGGTGGAGATTTTATCTCACAAATCTTTATCTACATTTTTGAGTCATTGTGGATGGAACTCTGTGCTTGAATCACTGAGCCATGGCGTGCCAATGATAGGGTGGCCAGTGGCAGCAGAGCAGTTTTATAATGTAAAATTGTTGGAAGAAATGATTGGAGTATGTGTGGAGGTTGCTAGAGGGAAGAGGAGTGAGGTTTTTCGTGAAGATATAATGGAAAAAATTAAGTTGGTGATGAATGAGAGTGAGAAGGGAAAGGAAATGAGAGGGAAAGCTTTGCAAGTTAAGGCGATAATTAACAATGCTATCAAAGATGAGGGAAATTCTAAAGGGTCTTCTATGGACGCCATGGATCAATTCTTGAATGCTGCATTGAATCTGAAAACAAAGGGGAAATTCAACAATGAGGTTTGAGTCTGTTTGAAAAATAAGATTCATAATATTTAATAATTTGTGTTGTGAAATGTCTTTTTTTTTTTTTGGGTGCAATAATTGAAAAAACAAGTCATGTAGACTTTCAACAGTACAATTTGTATTGTGAAGCTTCTGAAATTTTATTTTACTTACATGTCATGTTTTCCTGGAGGAGCTAAAAGCTACTTGCTCAATACTGCACTTCAATCTGCTCTTCTAAAAAGATCTGTTATAAAATAATTAATTATTATATTAGTATTTGCAAATAAAAAATATATTAAATATAAAAAAATAACTAAATGTCAATAAAATAAAATGACAATATAATAAAATTAAAAATACCATCAACGTAATCACATGTCGGAGATCTTTCAGAATGACAGGAAGAGATCCGGTAAAGAATATAACCTTAGGATGGATGTCGAAGTCTATGTAACACACAATTTCCTTAAAACAGATTCTCCTCCTTTACGAGTGTACAAGGATTTGAGCAGCATCTGTTTCCTAGGATACAACAACAAATGAATAGAGAGAAGCATCACTCTTATATTCTAACGAACTAAATTAAGTCTTGACTCCAACAAAAGAAAACCTTAAAAACTAAATAGAAAATAAGAAATTGAAAGAGTTCTCAATTTTGGTGCATTTAAAATGAAAGAAAAAAATACCATTTTATACTACTCAAGGTGGGAGAAATCATTGAATTCCACAATTATTTTCAACATTTTCACTTTCCAACTTTAAAACCTTTTTCTTTAATCCACTAATTTTTCATCTTTCAAATTCCCAACTTATACTACCACATCTCATTTCATTCAATTTAATTAATAAATTCCAACAAAAACATGGTTGGCTTCGATGATTCCATCTCTGTCTACCAAAACAATTCAAAGTATTTCAAAAAAGAGTGTTCATTTTCTCTTCTTTTATCTCTAAAAGATAGGGTGTCCTAGCCATCAAACACTGTTTCATCCCTGTTATCCATTGAACCCAATTTGAATAATCTCCCTTTTATTAGATTATCGATGTAATAAACAGAAAAGCTACTTTTTTAAGGAATTTCAAACCAAGCTTCAGATGAATAACTGAAACTTAGGGTCCATTTGATTCCTTTTTTTGCATTTTTTAGAAAAGTTTTTTTAAAAAGGTTAAAAAAAGTTGAATTGGGTGGGTATTATGATGTAGGATTTATAAATTAATAAAAATACCCCTATGTTTGTTTATTTACTAAACACCCCTATAATAAAGCTTTGAAAGTTAACAAAAACACCCCTAACCTACCCCATTGAATAATCACAATCGGCCACCACCACCCAAGGGTGGTCGGAGTCGCCGTATCAGCTCATGACCGGCTGGATCTTGTCGGTCGTACGTCGATATGGCATTTGCTAGTCAAATCCACGGTGGATCTAGCCGGCAAAGGTCAGATCTACGGCTAGATCTGACCATTGACGGCCAGATCTTGCCGCATTTGCTCGTCAACGACGGCCAAAGATACGACCGTCGTTGATGGTCAACGACGACCATATGTTAGCCGTCGTTGAGATTTTTGGCCTTAGATTTGACCTTTTCTAGCCAGATCCACCGTGGATCTGGCCAGAAGATGTTAGATCAGCCTACTATCGGCCAAATTCAGCCGGTAGTGTGCCATTATATTAGATTCCGGCCAACTTTTGGCAGTGGTGGCTGAAATCTGGTATAATGTAGGTTTAGGGGTGTTTTTGTAATTTTGAAAAAAATATTTAGCGGTATTAATTAAATTAACAAATTTAGGGGGTTTAAAAAAAGTTGAATAATATTGGATAATATTGTAAGTTTTTGCAATTTTACTGTTTAACTTTTTTGGGAATACTAATAATAGTATTCCAAAAAACGAAATAAACAGAGCCTTAAACTCTTACGTCGAATTTGAGACCTTACTTTGATAATGTGTTAAATTGCTACTTAATCTAAGACCCTAACATTGATATTCCAAGTGTATGTGCAGCTTTCTCTCCATGTATTAGACCCTGACATAGTAGGGGATCTGTAGGAGATTGGACTATTGTATTTTACCTACGAGAAAATTGGGCCTCCAGGTTTATCATATTGGCTTGTTCTGTGGGCCAGCTCGAGCCCGATAGGTATCTCTCTGGAGGGCTTCACCTGTGGTACAAGAATATAAGGAAAACATTTCTCCATAAAGCTTCGACGACCAAGGTTAACCTAGATGGAGATCTTTATTAGTTTAGAAGTTATCTTCGTAAAATATCACTTTAAATACGTGCTTTGTATTTTCTTTAATTAAAAAGATCATGATTTTTTATTTTAGGATAAATATTTGTATTTTATATATAATATTTGATTTTTTTCTTATATTAATAGGAGACTGATTATTAGTAACAAAAAACAGAAAAAGCAATTAGGGTTACAGGAAGCCTTTACTCTTTACGTTAAAACTTAAAAGCCTTTATTCTTTACTTATTAAAACCTTCCTACCTGATAGCAGTGGGACCATTTCCAATTCTTTTCTTCTTCACATATTATTTCTTTATTCTTTCTTTTTGAAGTAGTTGTTTTTTATTCTTAATATGACCTGGTGCACTCTTCACATATCATTTCTTTACTCATTCTCTTCCTTTGGTCATTCTTTATATAGTAATTTCTTACTTCCAAATACAATTTTACGATCCAAGTAAAAGTTCTAAACCACCTGTCAGATATGAGTCTCGCAATGACTGAGAAGTTGAATAGATCTGCTAGAGAGGGAAGCGTTGACGCTCTTTACTCAATACTTGCTGAACACGACGATGATTCCATTGCAGATACTCCATTGCATATAGCTGCAAGCGTGGGAAACACCCATTACGCCATGGAAATAGCTACCTTAAAACCTCCACTAGCCCGGCAACTAAACCGTCAGGGGCTCAGCCCCATGCACGTAGCTTTGCAAAATCGGCACAAGCAAGTGGTGAGAGCGCTTCTAGCAATCGACAGGGAGCTCGTCCGAGTGAAAGGAAAGGGGAGGATTACTCCTTTGCATTACGTAGCTGAAATGGAGGATTTCGATCTTTTAGCTGAATTTTTGTCTGCTTGCCCTTCTTCAATAGAGGATTTAACTGTTCAATGTGAAACTGCTGTGCATGTTGCTGTGAAGAACAAAAGGCTTGCTGTTGTAGAAGTCTTGATGGGATGGCTTATAAGGGTTAACAAGAAAGAGGTCTTGCAATGGAAGGACGAAGATGGCAACACTGTTCTGCATATTGCAACATCTACAAAGCAACCAAAGGTAATGTTGTAACTCTAGTAACTCCAAACTAAATTACAAAAGTAAATATTTAATTAAAGAATATCGTGGCTGCATGTTCTTTCATTAATATACGTATATTATGGTAATTATATGTGTATGGTACTCTCTCTTACCAGTATCTGCATTTTAACTACATTTATTAATGATAGTAAAAATTTAACGCTTAGGAGTATTCAAGGAATGTTATATAACTTGAAATGTTATATTAATGGGAAGATAATATATTATCTTGAAGATTATTGGAAATGTTATATAAAATGTGTTTAGTTAGATTGGAGTAAATTAGTTGATATAAATTACTATGTTTGGTTGGGAGGAATAACTTGATGAGTTTGTTATATATGTTACTGAATAGCTATTTTTTTAATATTATTATAATTATTATTATTTGAATTATTTTGTTAACCACTTACGTTTGAGATTTTGCTAAAGCACTCTAGCTACAATAAAAGTTTAAATTAAAACAAAAACACCCCCATCCACCCAAGTCATTGTTAATCACCGACTACCACTATCGGCTATGGCCTGAATGGTGCACGGCCAACCAGATCTGGTCGGCCATGAGCCAATTTGGCTCTTTCCGACCATATTGAATTCCAAAAATGACTAGATGGTTGTGGATCTGGTCAATCATGTGTCGTTTCGATGACGTTGACTAGTGATGGTGGCCAGATTCGACCATCTATCTTGGGTAATTAGTTTCCAAGTTCAAGAGTAATAATATCCTAAAAATCTTACAAATTGTTTTCAGAATAAGGGTATTATTGTCCAAAAATTTAATTATTTAGGTATAAAATTTTAACAAAATTAAGATTACCAAGCAATCTTATAATACCTAACAAAATGGTGGTATTTAGATTATCATCAATATAACCAATAATAATTACTATTTGTTTTTTGGGATTACAGAAATTTTTTATTACTTGACAACCAAATATAATAATGTAAGTAATATAAGATGACATTATTAGATTAATGTCGAATACCCCTCAACTTTATAGCATCATGAATTCTTGAAATTCGTCTTTTAGTTATCCTTAATGAAGATTTAGATTTTAAAGGTTTGAATACATTCGACTATAAACTATTTTTAATATGTTTAAAAGTGAGTGCATAATTGAATGATCAAACGTATATAAAATTTTAAAAATTTGATGCATGTATTTCCCCTTTTCCTTTTCAACCAAGTAGTATGAGTGATTGGGTTTTAATAAATAATGTTAGGTAGAACTAAACACCGAACCTCTTTATAAAACTATGGGTGCGTTTAGTTTATTATTTTGGATAGGATTTTAGAGATAGTATTGGATAATTGAATAGGGTGATTATTACAAGGTAAAATTTTTTTTAAAAAAAAAAAAAAAAAACCTCCTAGGATAAGAAAAATATAATAGTATTTCCTAAATAATTAAACAAATAAATATTTTAAGAATAAGATTGGAAATAAGATTGAAATAATAAACTAAACAGACCGTATTAAATCATCCATAATACTTCATGAAAAATTGCATATGGCTCTTCTTTCATTATAATAATCATATTTAGTCCTATCTTTATTGTTTTTTTTAATTGATATTCAAATGACATGTTCTACTTTAACGTTTGTTCTTTTCGTGCCCCACAAGTTTCATAAACGTATCATATAAGTGTATTGAAAAGATATCTTTGATTTAATAAAAACTTTCAACTATCGTCTCAATAATGAAGGTGATGGAGTTGCTAATCAGGCATGTCAAAGTAAATGCCAAGAACTTCCATGGTTGGACAGCCATGGACATCTTCTACGGTCAAGAATATTCTCCGGAAAGAGAAATACTCGGAAAAATCCTTCGTCGTGCCAGAGCTAAAAGTGCTTTTTGTGATGATTCTACAACCACATTTGCAAGCTACCTGAGAAAACCCTTGTCACTTATCGAAAGGCGGAACAATATCCTGGGAATTTCTGGCCAAGATCCGACACAATCTTCCCGCGATGTGTTACTTCTGGTTGTTACATTGATCGCGACATCTACATTTCAAGCTGTTCTTAACCCTCCTTTGGAACTTTGGCAAGCAGTCACCGGGTTGAAAACAACTAAAAACCCAAAAATTCTTGGGATGAACGCGAGGTTGACGAATTCGGATCGCCAGTCTGATCTATACACTTTCTTTTCACTTAACACAATGGCCTTTTTCACATCTTTTTATATTATTCTACTCGCCATAATTGACCTCCCTTTTGCTATTATACTCTATCCGTCTGCTATGTTCCTATCATATACCTACTATGGTAGCCTGGTTAACACCATTCTGTATTCACGGATGAATCCCAATAATCTAGCTCTGAGGTATGTATTTACATTCTTTACAGCTTTATGTTTAGTGATGGAAACTCTGATTCCTTTGGGTGCTCTTGTACAACATCGGTGGGTTAGAAGGAAGGTGGATGTCCTGAAAAGGCATCTGGGAAGGCTCATATAGACAAATGAGACGAACCAATAGTCGTTTGTAACAATCTTAAACTTAATTTGTATATGGATTTTCTTATTTCTGTACGATGTTGATGCAGTAAGAATAAAAGTTTAGACTTAGTGACTTTAAGTTATTTACTTATGATATGTTTAATGTAAAGCCTCCATGTCAATCTAGATATTTTTCATCTCTAGTATGAATTTTCTTATTTTGTAAGTATGCGTTGATTTGATTTGTAAATGAGCGTTAAAAATAACTCAATCATACGATTATATAAAAGTTTATCAATTTTATCTCTATATATAAATTTAGTTTTCTCAGTTCGGCCCCCTCAAATTTGAACTTAACCTTTAGTCCCCGATGAAGGTACTTTCCTAATTGTTTTCTGGCTTCCTTATTCATTAAACGTTACCCAGAATAAAATTTCCTAGCTCCACACTGATGTCACTTCATATAATCTTACGAGTATGTGATGCTATCATATTAACAACTATATCAGTAAGGATTGAAAATTGGAAATCCATCTTCATAAACATAGTATTTCTTATTATTCGATGCATACAAAATATGAGGAGAAATATCTCATATAATGCAAAAAGAAAATATATCTTAATTGACTTATTAATATCATCACCTACATTCATGTATAAGAAAGAGATATGGGGAAGAACCTTTTTATATACCAAGGAGGTCCTCCACTAAAATGCCCAAGTGCTTGTAGGCTCTAGCCCACATCAATTATCCTAAATCATGGGCTTTTCTACCCGCTACTGGACTGTGATGCATACAAAGATATGATTAATGAGGCTTTTTTCAATTTAAATAATGGTTTAATAACATTTTTTTCCCTCACAGATTTTTAAAATATCACTTTATTATCTAAATTTATATTCTGTTTCTAATTCCGACATTATTGCAATCTTATATCACCACCATTTTTTTTTTCCAATAATCACTCATTAAAACCCCTCAAACCACTAAAATGCCTAAGTGTTTGTAGCCCACATCAATTTTCCTAAATCATGGGCTTTTTAGCCACAACTGAGTTGTGATGCATATAAAGATATGATTTTAATTAAGGATATAAATGTACTAAAATATTTTATTGAAATTGGTTCACAAAATTCATGGTTAAATTGAGAATGGAATTGATGCATTATTTATTGGATTTGGTAAACAGGTAAAGTTTGAGAGGTCCCATAGAAAGTCTAAAAAGATGGTCTGTTTTTAAGACTAAAGAAACAAAAGTAACAAAGATAGATGGAGACTAGACAAAATGTATGACTCCTCTTTAGTGGATATCCAACCAGCCACTCATTACTAAAGAAATTGCAACCAACATTACCCTGTGTTCAAACCAACAAAATCAAACTAATTAAGATTTAATTTTATCGTCTTAAACCGTAAAGTCTCAGATGTCTCAAAGATCTCTTTCAACTTTTAAATGCATTCACATGAAATTGTCAAAAGCCTTTAAAAAAAAAAAAAAAAAAAACCGGCCCTCTGCCCTCATGAAAATGCTAATAATTTGAAAATTCGTTGGGCACTTGAGATTTAGTAAGCAATGATTACACCAAAGATTAAGCTATCTGAAACTAAGAAAGTGCTAATGGAATTTGTGCGAATGAATTCAATGAACTACTATTCATATTATGTATATTAGTGCGTTATAAATTCTTGATTATTCACCTTACACTGTAGTTACATTATATATATAATATATAATTTTTATGACAGAGGGTGTCCGGGCCACACCGTCCACTCACTAATTGTCCGAGACCCTAGAACTACCGACCACATAAGATTTCTAGTGACCACCCTACTGGCAACCATTAGACTCATTCAGAGACTATATTAGATCATTCTCTTGTTCTTTTATCCTCAAGAGGAATCGAACTTGGGAGGCCATGTTAAATCATCCTACACTCTTTTACCATCAAATAACTCAAACTTAAGATCATATGGATCCTACTTTGCTTTTTTACTATCAGATCATCCTTAGTGATTTATTACATTATAATGTTAGGGTTGTGGCGTGAGAAGATTTTTCTTTTTTGCTCTTTTTAACAAGTATTGTCGTGTATGACATAAAATATCAATAGTGGTTGTAAAAGTTTATGAACAAGAATAATGTGACTTTTAACTTTTCTGAAAGGGAAAAGACATAATATAAATCGAATGTATCACGCTCTGATGTATAAATCAAAATAAATGGGGATTCTCTCCTTAAAAGTGTCCTTTTAAGCATATCACGAGCTGAATGTGTGCTGCAACAACCTCTGATTGGGATGGCGGTGAAGAAACACATTATTCGGCAGGTAGTGCCGACGGGCCGACGAAGATATCTTTTCTGGAATAATGAACGAACATAGAGTTGACTCTTGTCTTTATGTATCAATCAAGTAAAAATCATTGAATACAAACCCATGTAAACACACAAGTATAATACTACTATTTTATTCTTATTTATACAGCCAATTTTGCATCGGAAAGACCCTTGAGATTAGGAGGATTGTGAAGAATTTGTAAGGAAAGTAATTGATTTTATATTTCCTGATTAGGGATTTTTGTAGATACAATAGTAACTAATAAAATTGAAAAAGACGGCCTCTTATGAATCATAAGTTTGAATTCAAATACTGATCTCTATTGGCTTCTATTTTCTACTTTAGATTTTTTAGCTGAAGTGATAATTAATTATTAGCTAGCTCAAGCTCCATTGATGAGTTTTCTCTTGTTCTTCTCTTTCATTGACAATGCAGCATTGAAAAATTCATCCATGGCTTTCACTGAAGTCCCTTGTACTCTTCATCTCTCATGGCATTCTTTATCATCTCCCTGACTTTACAACATTTCTTCTAATTTCATCCCCTTCTTACTTTTCACACTCATCACCATCTCAATCTTTGCCTCTATATCTTCAGGTCTCAATTCACAAGTCTTCCCTCTCGCCACCTCCCACAAAATCCCCATCTCCTCCTCTAAAAATTTCACATTAAAAAACTGCTCGGCCGCCATCGGCCACCCCAGAATCGGCACCCCGTGAATCAAAGCTTCAAGCACAGAGTTCCACCCACAATGGCTCAAAAATCCACCTATCGCTTTATGTGACAAAATCTCCACTTGGGGTCCCATTTCTTCACCAAAAGACCTCTTTTTGAACCCAAAATCACCCTCTCTTCAAACCCTTCAGGCAGCCATTCTTGGCCTCTGAATTCTGAATTTATGTCAAAACCAATTGGTGGCCTAACAACCCAGATGAAATTTTTTTCACTTGCTTCCAAAGCCATGGCCAGTTCTTTCATATGTGACAAGCTGATTACGTTCATTGACCCAAATGAAATGTACAATACTGATTTTTCAGGCTTTGAATCTAACCATTCTTTGCAGAATTCTGAACTGATTCCGGTTCTTTGTCTTTTCCAGCTTGTGCTCTATTGTCTAGTGATAATAAATTGGCCCAATTGCCCAAACTGGCCTGTTTAATTTTCTGTTAAAATACTTCAATCCGAGCTTGTCGAATTCTTCAACAGTGTTGAACAAATCCCATTTGAATTCACATATTCTGGTAAATTTCCCCCCTGGAAAGAGACCAAGGATCAGACCATCAGCTTGAGCATACTAAAGCCAATTGTGTCTTCTGAATTTTTCCGGCTTCTTCAAAATCCGGCAACAAAAAATCCTCCGATTCACCTTTTTTATGCGGAAGATTTCTCCACACAGAGTAATAACAAGCCAAGCCGAATCCTCCAGCGCCACTAAAATGGCGTGAACACATTGAATTCCTGGCGACACCGGCTGTCCATCCGAAAAAGATATCTGCAATTATGCAAAGCGGGGCGTCGGCGCCATTGTTCCTGCAAATAGAATCGTTTATTAGCTCTCTGAAAGCAGGCTTTAAAGAAGCCGAAGCTCTCAGGAGTTGAATGATGAGAGAGTAAGGGAGAGCGTCGCAGTTCTCGGAGTCCGGCGGAGGCCGTGAAGCGAACTGTTGAAGGGATTTCAACAAAGTTAATGGAGGGCTTTTAGGGAGAGATGACGGAGTTTCTTGATGTTTAAAGGGTGTTGACGAAAGTTATGGTGCAGTTTTTTCTGGTTTTCTGAATGTGAAAGCCAAGAGGAAGGGAATTATGTGGCCTTGGGCCATAATTGGAAAGAGTATAACATTTGTTTTGTTTCTCTGTTTCTCATAACTTTTTTTTTTTTGGTTGTCGCAGAGAGGTTGGAGGAGTAGGTGGGGACAGAGTTAGAACAGTTTCTATGTTTTTATGCTGCATCTTTTGTGGTAGATTTTATTTTATTTATAATTTAGTTATTGCTGGCATTTTGTGGCCCCATTTTTGGCATTAAATGAATAAATAAATTCAGCCAGTCAAGCAACAATAATTGACACCAAAAATACTTTGAATAGTTGACCAATAAGGTCTTGCTTGACCACAATTTAGCATTTAATTATATTTTTATGTGATTTCCAAGTGTATAATATTTGTAGTTTTAATTTGTTAACAACAATAATCCCAATTTTGAGTATAATAAATAACAAAAATCGTGTTATAATTATAAATAAAATAAAATATTGCTACCATTAATTTTTTAGTATTAAAAAATGGAAGAGAAGTAATTAAGTAAATACTTATCATATTATAAATTCTAATGGTACAATTTGTATGTGAGTCGGAACATACCATATAAATATAAAAATTAAAAACTTTAATAAAAAGAAAAGGCAACAAATAATTTTGTCAAACATGAGTTATGACCGATACCTTAATTTATGTGGACATTTTACATTATCACCTTCGAGATGTCTTGTATTATTCAACTTGGCTTTTTTGTCTAAATCCATCCATAATATTCCCAAATTAATTTTGTAATAATCCTAAATTTTTATGTCGTGAAATTTTGGTTCAAAAAAGAAGAAGAAAGAAAATCACAAATGAGAAAATTAAGAGTTCATGATTTCCCCCAGGTATCAGTAATATTTTCCCATCTTAGGTATCATAAATACA